AGGAGCTAGGGCAGTGGTTTTAAACCTGTGGGTCACGATGATGCCCGAGACAGGCTGCACAAATAATGTAAACAATTACAGTGTATAGTGCACTGTAGAGGGTTTAAGATTTTTGTTGACTGTATTTATCTAATTATTGATGATATCATAAAGTCCGTATGAGAGATTTGTTCTGCATGGTGCACCAATTACTTCAGCACTTTGAATCGATTTAGATGAAAAAGTACTATTTGGGATTCGCGCAAATTCGGAGTTATATTTACTGATTTGAGCAAAAAAATAAATCCGCCCGATTTAGTGTACACCCCCTAATATCAAATTACATCGAATAATTTCATGGGTCAAACTTAAGGACGGACAGAAACAAGTTCTGCTCTCTGAGTTTCCTTTACGAACATCTGTCAAATAATCCATAAAAAGCGATGTACTTTAATTCTATAGATTTTCCTTAAAAAACAAAAATATTTCCATAACCTTATACAGCTTAAAACTATGTTTGAATTAGAACAGACATATTAATATGATACTATGCTTAAAAAATCGGATAATGTGTTTTCCTGTAATTCACAATCATCATTAGACATTGCTTGCAATTATTTACATTTTATTGTTATATGATTCATTGCAATTAGTGATTAAACGTTTAAATATATATATTTACATATTTTTCACAGGTGTCCAACCTGAAAAAGATTGCTGCAATTATGATGTCCAGAAGTTCTAACTTGATTATCCGTTGCCATGGAAATAATGGCGTGATACTTAGTATCTTCTGCACTTAAATCTTTATCTTGTAAGCAGACTAAAAGCAAACACACGGCAGAGAGAACTAAGCATGTCTGCCAAGCTATGATTACTGTTCAATTCATCATTTGCTTTATATTCATATAATTTATTTTAAAATTTGTTTTTGTTTAAAAATATGTTTAAAACTGTGTTATCTGTTTATTAAGAATCACAGTACCCAACGTTTGCCCAACTTTCATTATCGTGTTCACAAAATTCCCTTCACTGGACTCTATATATATATTTAAATGCCCTTCCATCAACACCTAGGTCTTCCAAATTGTCTTTTCCTTCAGAGTTCACGACTACCACTGTTCATATAAATATTTTAGACACTTTGTGTGTCTGTGTTATAACGTAACATAATTCAAAAGCGAGGCCCTGTAACAGAGTACAACAGCGAAAACAATCAAATTTTTAAACAACGATTAATACCACCGTATTCGTTGCTGACTAAATAAAATATGACCATGATACACGACCCTTTTAATAAGAAAGGTTGAGCATCTACCTACTATAATTTATATCATTAAAATTATAACAACCTAACCGTCACTTTACAAATTGGTTCCCATCAAACTTGTGAGGCAAGAATACGCGATCCTTCCAAGTTGCCTGTATAAATGGACTTCCAACTGTTTCGTACATACATACACGCGAAGCATCTGATGAACACATGTTATAAATATTCATGACGCTTGTCAAAAGCACAAAATCGCCCGTGACAGTACAAACTCTTTCGATTTGCAGTTCATTTTTTTGTGATATTTTTCTCTCTTTGCATTCATGATATTGTATATTTCTAAATAGCATCTGAATAGGCATGTCAACATTTACAAGTGGAATGTCACTTGTAAACAAGACTCCCCCGCCCCCAACTTTGTATACGCTGCACGATTCTTATCAAATTCTTAAGTACTACTGCAAACCCTAATCTGTATGCGTGCAGAATGAATATGTTTGACTCTCCTACGAATTTGTCTTCACCTAACTCATTTAAATCTACAGTTTGTGACAAAATTCAGGGGATCAAAAGGGCAGACCACTAGAATCTCCATATTTCCCCTTTAAACCCGAAGCTCGTCTGTATAATATTTACGTATTCGGCCCGTACCGCAAAGAAAACACGACACTTCACCGTTACAAGGATCGACTTCTTGACGCTGTTTAAGGAAATAATCGATGTAAGACTTGAGGTTCTCACAGCGGTGAGTATGAAGATATCCGTCTTCTGGGTTGTTGCGCTGTGTAGTCTGGTCGATGTTAACCAACGTTCCAGAGGTTATACTGCCTCCATCATCAGGGCGATGAGTATGAAGATTTCTGTCTTCTGGGTTGTTGTGCTGTGTAGTCTGGTCGATGTTAACCAACGTTCCAGAGGTCTGAAACGTTGGTTAACATCGACCAGACTACACAGCGCAACAGCCCAGAAGACAGAAATCTTCATACTCTGATGACGGAGGCAGTATGACCTCTGAAAAGTTGGTTAACATCGACCAGACTACACAGCGCAAAAACCCAGAAGACGGATATCTTCGAAATAATCGATGTTTATTCTGAGAATAATACGAAAATACATAAATACACTATGTGTTAAAACCGCAAAGCTTACCTATTGTTAAATCAGGTTGTAAATAAACTTACAACTAATCTTTAAATGGTTTAACAATAACTCAGATAATATCCAACTTTTATGGAATCCGAATGATTGTTTCCGTGTTCAAAAGATCCCGCCGCCAGATAGCACCGTATTATCAGACACCATGAGACTACGCCCCTCTCTTTGGGGCAGAGACCATATTTAACATCAATACAAAACGAGGATTAACAATATGAGATGTCAGGTTCTGACGGAGGCGAGCATGAAGATAATGATCTTATGGTTTGTTGTGCCAGATAATTTGGTTGAAGTTTATCGACGTTTCTGGGTTGTTTACTGCTCCATTACCACGAAAATTATAGCACCAAATCAGCAAAAGATTTTTTTACGGTTACTAGGGTTTAAAATGACCTGGTTCGGTATAAATACATTTGGGTGACTATTATAAATCGGCGATGAACCTTCGTATTCCGTTATTGAGTATAGTTAAGATTTTGAAAAAAAAAAAAAAAAAAAAAAAAGAATTCTGCTATATTTAATTACTTATAGCCTCTTCTTTGAGGTTGGTTTTATCCGCAGAATCGATCTGCGAGTGGTGACAGGAAAAACTCCTTCCATCTACGGGAATTAAATCACCATCGTACAACCCGTAAGTAGGCTATAAGTAATAACCCGAAGGCTGTCCCATATACAGGTGATTGAACCATAACCAAAATTACATCACTTCAATTATCATGCGTTACTTCTACTGTCCAGAGGACAATTTATCTTGCGAAGAAATTGCTCCTACTGGAGAGGGAAGGCTTGCTTCTTATTAAGATCAAGATTGAACGGCGTGGGTCTTGGAAAAGTGGCTCAAGTCAAATGACTTGCTGTTTTACGAAGATGGCCACTTTACGTTTCTCGTAGACCACTTGATTTATTTCAGGTTCCAGATATACTGAACAGGACATTTCAACTTCGGTTGATCTTAAGCGAATAAGTGAGGAAATAGAGGCAGCAAGCGCCTCCGAAACGTCGGTAAACTTGTACCAGACAACACGGAGAAAAAACTCACAAGGCGGTCATCTTCAGACTCATTGCCGTGAGAACCTAAAATCTCACAAAATAATCAATGATCTCTAAGTGAGAGTCTTTTCAGTATCTTACGTAACAATATGAATTCTATCACCTGACACTTGCCAACTTCACAGTTCGAAATATCCCATTCTCACCTTTGATAATTTACACTCTCATTGAATGCTAATTCATAAAAGTTTGTAAAGAGATGCTTTTATATTACTTTCATAATTAATTTAAATCGATTGTTATCGATCTTAGACGGCAATGAAATGATGCTATTATCATCTTCTTCTCATCTGAAAATATTTCACTTTGAACACTCTGAAGCCTTGCAACATTTAAATCTCGTCTATAAAATACCTGGTCCTACAATGTTACATATTAAAATTATTATAAACTGAGCGAAACACATAGCTTATATTTTCAATCCGAATTTGTAATAAGTTGCTATTCGAGAGGGGATTGAGATCAGAAAGCAAGGCATTGTATGTTACTCCAATCAAGTTTTGCGTATCTACAGCACAAACCAATCAATGGGATAGGCATGAGGCTACTTAAAATTCTAGCTAAGTCACCATAATAATTATTAGCATATTGTGATTATCTTCTTGCTGTAATTACTTGGCCGATGTAACGACATTATGGCGGGTGCAGTTATAATTACCTCAATGTATGTAGGTGATCCGCGGAGTCATGGAATTTGGACCATCATGTCACACACTTTGTGGGACGAAGTGATCTCATTTTCCTTTCACGTTCACAACACACGGACACATTGTGCCCAGGAATATCAGAATGTACCTATTGTAATACAAGTCATGTTATTTTGAGTAATTATTTTTTTAATCGTTTTAACCTCTACGATCAAATCAAAAGTACGCACGACAGAATCTTACATGAATTGCGTTTCGTAATCGTAAAAGAAGAATTGTTAACTTTCATAAATACTAAAGCCTGCTATACAAACTTCACTTGGTTTAATATTCCTTCAACTGCACTTCGTGGCTTTGTAATGTAACAAAACTGACAAATCCAATTTAATTACAAGAATATACAACATTCTTTATAGAAATGTTAACAGACTCGTATTACACATTTAAATACAAACAAATTCTTCACATAAATTAATACATGTCAATACTCTTAATAAATCATGAGCTTATTAATTTCATAATATGAGGGTGATGAATCAACGGATATTATATGGGAATGTAGCACGCACGAAAGCGACGAGACCATCTGCGAGATCTAAGCATATAAAGACAACAGAAAACATTGTCACTGGTACTTAACTAAGCACCAATCCAAATATAATAGGATAATATTAAAATGTATTTAGGAGAAACAGGGTGTGAATACGTAGACTAGACTCAAGGTGGCTCGGGATGGGTTACGTTTATGGCGTCTCCTGATTCCCCGAGTTCAATATACGGCGGTATATTTTTTAAAGGATAGGGAACTGTCAAGATTTAAAGAATAGATCTGCTATAAGCAGTTAAGCTTGATATTAATTGCCCTATAAATTATTGTAATTATTTAAGTATGGACTTACCATAATTGCAGTGAAAATTTCCTTACGACGCTGCTAATATCTCGCGTCTGTGCTGAAGATGATCATCTGAAATATATAAAATCATTTGAATCAGAAACGCACTACCGTTTCGGACTATATTTAACGTGTGGAGGCGTCAGTAAGAGATAGCATGCACACATAAAGAAGATTTTCTCTGATTTTATACTGTCGATAATCGCAAAAGATCGCCCGAGCGTTTGGACCGCGTGTTTTCTTCCGCGGACGCCAAGGGTTTTTAACCTTTCAGTGCCAGCTGCCAACATCCACTCTCTCTTATCGACTCGAGCCGCCGGATTAAAAATGACGACAGTTTATTAAAACTTCTTGGCAATTTATTTAAAACGCTACTAACTTCCTTTCATAAACAGGATCACATATTAGTCATTAATTTTCCTTAACAAATTCATCGATTTGTCATTTTTATTAATTATTCAGCTGAAAATGAATATTTAATTCTGACAGTAATTACTTTTCCTTTATACCGACTGATACAATATTATAAAACACATATCAGGGCAGAACAAAACCATCGGCTGGCTGTATGCGACCCGTGGGACTCTGGTTGAGATCCTCAGGTGTTTGCAAAGGCCTTCATTTGTGGCCATCCCTTGTTTCAAGTTATCCCGTGCGTTGAAGTTTCTGAATCAGGTCTGAAGCTCAAGTCTTGGTCCGTGATGGCTGAAGAAACACTTGTTCATTCAGTGGCATTAAACAGCTTACTGAGGTCCGCCAACTTTTAATACAAATGACAGGTTGAATAATAAATAAATAAATCAGTAGTGTACCCTTAAAGGGAACACCGAAAGAACGTTAAATAGTCACAAGTTGAAATAGAAACTAGTCAACACGCACGTCTAGTTCCGGCACTGTTAAAACTGTTTCTTTTTAACACAACAGCTGTTGCTAAAGAACCCGAAGGTCACGCGGGTCACTCGAAAAGACCTCGACCTTGATAAATATTTAGTAACCACGGTGATCTAACAAAGACCTAGAGGTCTCTAATCTCTGCCGGCTGGAGAAGGATATCCGGATGAATTAATCCGCTTCAGAAAAAGGAACCTCCTTGGTCATGGCTTAAAACAGGGACGAATTAACACTTCACAAGGCCTTCACCCTTTAAAAACTAGTGATCCCTATATATACCACATCTGAGACGTTGACGTAGATTGAAATATAATATTTAAAAATGCATTTTAAAGGAACAGTGTGATCTGGATTCAGGTGGCTGAACTTAAAACACAATGACAATATATTGAACAGCTGTGATACAACCATCGAGTGTGTTAACAAGAAGTTTAACATCAACCTAAATACAAACATTACTGTTTGCTCTTCACACAAATTCAGAAGATCTTCACGTAAAATCACCTTATTATTAAGATGGTGTTCGTCACTGCGATGTAACCATTTTAAACCCCATGGTAAATATATCTACCACCTTCTTCAACAATCAGCGACTCACATTTTAATACGGAATTTGTATGATTCTCAGTGTAAACAGCGTTCATTTTCTTAAACACCGTTAACCAGTTGATCTTTGTAATGGTAAAGTGTCGTGTTTTCTTCGCGGTACGGACTGAATTCTTATATATATTATTTAGACGAGCTTCGGCTGCAAAAGGGGTTAATGGTGTTAACGTAATTGTATGTTTCCATTCATCTTGCGTCGTTTGATTTACGTTAACAAGAAGCGAGGGGCATAAACATTCATTTGCGAACCCCGTTGCGTGTCAGGACGTTGGCAGTTCACTTGTTAGCGGAAACAGGACTCAGCACGGCGTAACACAAGGTACCTGACGTGTGTACTTCAAAGAACTGGTTCATATTTTGCTCCTTCCCTACTGGATTTCCTGTAATCATTAACATTTTCGTGGAATGCGAGATGTAAAGTAGTAACTATAGGCTGTTCTGTAACATTCTCACTGGCATGACGTAGAAGATAATTAACTCACTACATGGAACAGAGTCCTCGTTAGATAAGCCGACAATCGTCTGGTTAATCACGGATTCCCGGCGGTTCAGTGCCGTATTGAAAACAGCCAGCCACTGTTCCTTACCCTCACATTTTATTTCTTTAAGAACCATTTTAATATTATTCCCTATCTGAAGATATTTCGTATACAATATCTCACTCCCATCCTGTGCTTAGGAGTTCGGCGAAATCCAACGTTAAGTCTACTAAGGCAGACGGAGGCAACATCAAGTAGACACGTAGGTTACGAGACGTGCTATTTGATCGGGTGAAGAGACCAAAGCAGGCGGGGGGGGGGGTCCTAGAATTTCCGGTTGTCTGTAAAGTCATGCGTTGTAGGTGTCACGAGATCGTGTGTCGGGAATTCCGGGGTGGGGGAGGGGGGAGTACCCCGTACTTGGGTGACTTGTTGATCTTCCGGGCACAGACAAGTTGAGGCCCCTACAACAAGGGTCACAATAAGAAGAGATCAATGAATAGACTCCTGATATGTAAGAGGAAAACGCCTAAATATACGCTTAAGACAAAACAGAAGACTGGAAACTCTTCAGGAATAAACAGTTACGCCCATAACAAACACCAGGATAAAAACCAAGATGTGAGGTTCTCACTTCGGGGAATATATTTTATCGTCCTGATGATGGAGGCAGTAAGCACCTCTGCCGGTGAGCTGAAGTGTAATTATTAAAATACATCGTGAAATAAATTTGATATCAAAAGGAAACCGTGCGTATTTTGATAATAATTCAGTCGGCTCTATGATGTTCTTAGCGTAGAGCATCTGAAAACGTCACAACACTATTTCTGGGTCCCTCTGCCCCACGGCCCTGTCGTTTCATTCCAACTTACGGCTAGGTGTACACATATAATTAAACTAAGCCGTGGGCCTTTAAAATCCGTGGCTTCAACCAGGACAGAAATTCAATAATTCAATAATTTTGCAACTATTTGTTTAACGTAGAAAGGGTTGTGGTCAGATGTCGGTGCTGGCACTTCAGAAGCTCCTACCTGGATTAATGCGATTCCCCCCGCCACTCAGCGACGTATACGTTGGACGAAAACCGAAAGAAACTTATTTCAAGGTAGCATGGGGGCACAGATCCGGAAACCCCAACCTTCGCAGTTAGACGAGCGTAAATCGGAGGGCATGACTACTTCCTGGTTCTTCTGTTTGTTTCGCGAGGTCTCCTGAGGTGCAGCAGAGAATGCTACAGTGGACAAATATGGAAACAGAATCGAGACAGGCGTACATGCGAGGATAATATTAAAATGGGTCTTAATGAAGGAGCAAAATGGATTCATGTGGCTCAGGACGAAGACACGTCAACACGGTTATACACCTTCGGGGTCCATAAAAGCCAGAGAATTTTTGAAAAGTTAAGAAATTATAAGATTCTGAGGAACTTTCATTGTCTTGCTTGTCATATTTGGAAAAGTGTTAATTAAATTGGTTGGATTAGCCCAGAAAGATTGTATACTGACTGGACGACCGGGGTTCGATCCCCGACAAGGTCAGAGGAATTTTTCCTCTAGCCTCTGCGTCCAGACCGGCTCTGGGATCCTTTCCTCGGGGTGGGACGCTGACCTCTTACCCCTGTCTAGTGACGATTTCAAGTAGGACTAGGAGCTATATCGCCTCCCCCCCAAGCGTTTATATGGCGTACAGTGGGACAGTTTTACTTAATAATTATTAACAAATAATTGAATAAAATAATTAAGTAATCCGTCATCACTGTATGGAAACCACAAATCGTGGGTGAAAACTGTTTTACTGCATCTGACTTCAGTCTAAATTAAAGCATATCAAGGCGAAGTCCCATTTATATGAACGGTATCCCCCCCCCCTTCCATAAATTTATCTTAAAATTTGTGTTCTGAGAAAATTGAAACTCGAGTCCAAAATTAGGGAGTCACAAAACTTATTCGCTTCAATAATCTTAAAATATAAGTAATTCGGATGAGGAATATATTCCACATGACCCGCGGTTAAACAGATGGTGCAACCGCGTAGAGAAATGGCTGCAGCTCGTCAACCATTACCCAGGAGGCAGCGCGGAACACACGACGCCATAAATCTGCTTTACCTTTTGGCAACCAGATACTTTAAAAGAAATATCGCTTCAAACGCGAGGACGCACAGCGTGCGAAGTATGTGGAGGCACGAACTGGCAACCGGGACTCCAACACGACTAATGTACTCCTTATATAATAGCCAATGTCCGTCACGCTTCACTGAACGAGCGCGCCATTCGTGCGAAGCGGGAAAAGTATAAGTTAAGTTCTGACGGTGGCGACTCTTGTTGCAAGAAATTAAAAGCGTGCTATTATGGCGCCTATGGCGGGGTCCGGCGGAATATGCGCTTAGCAGGAATTTGGCTTCAATCGGCGTTTGCGCATTCACAAATTTTGTATTTCAAATGCGATTTGGAATTGTATTATTGTTCCAAGGGTCACTTCCGTCAACATTCATATCACAGATCTAGCTACTGGTACCTGGAGGGCTCACAGCGAGCACAATAAGTTGCAGACTTTCAGGCGAAAGCTGCAAGGACATCAAATGAACCACATACAGAATAATTCTCTTGTTAATCATTTAAAGCCGATTTCTTTTTTATTAAACCGTGTATACATTGGATTATCTGCCACGGTGGTCTAGCGGTTAGAACGCTGGCCTTGTAATCCTGGGGTCTCGGGTCCGATTCTCGGCGGTGCCCGAATTTATAACTTGTGTTGGGCAAGGCCGTGGTCTAGGC